GTGTAGGCCTGATGTGGCTGTCGCTGATTCTTTTCCATTTCGTGCATTGTTCATAGATCTAAACTCGTGTCATTTGACCGGATCTTTTCATGACTAGCGATACTTTGAAGAAGCTACTAGACTTCCACCGGGTTCGATAAGGAGCTAGGCATTTCAAATCTGAACATATATTTTTCCATAGCTTTATCTAGTCTGTTCTTGAACGCGTTCATACTTGGAGCGCCAACGATGTCATCGGGGAGGCTTTTTAAAATTAGTTTCTAAAATTAGTTTCTAAAATTAGTTTCTAAAATTTTTACGTGCATGAATTAAATGACAACGTCTACTGCAGATTGGCGAGTTCCGTGACCAGTATGCTTGGGTGTTGTCGCGCACTGAGGAGATGAGCGCCGACTCACTTGTGAGTACAAATTTTAAATTTATAACAAAATAAAATTCCAGTATGAACAAAGATATTTAAATCAAACAAGAAACCGTCCTAATTCTCTATTTATTCTCATAATCAAATTCATATTAATAACTATTTTAACAGGATTGAATCCACACGAAATTCACAAATTTGTTTGAATGTTCTCTCGATATTAACGATACATTTTACTATCCATACAGACTCTTCCAAGTAACATTTCAGTTCATACATAAACTGAAATTTTAATAACTCTTAACTGTTAATAATAATAATAACAAAATATTAAATAAATAATCAATAAATATATAAAGTAATAATAATAATAATAATTAATAACTGTTAACTATTAATAACTGTTAAAGAACTGTATTTATTTTTAATAACTACTGAAGTTTCTTTCATTGACACACATTTTCCTTCAGACTGCTGCGCTGGACGCGTTCGAGTCTAACGGCATCGACACAGCGGTGCTGCAGCCTACGCCGCAAGGCGCCGGCTGCGTCTACGCGCCAGTTCCTCCCAAGATATAAGGACTGAAACTGAATTGAAATAATTATAATAATTTAAATCATTGGAGTAAAATAAAGACCCGTGTGAACTTAAGTGAGAATGGTCACATGCATTTGATTTCTCCCCTTAGGTTTTCCCGTTAACAATACAAAACGTATCTTTTACATAAAAAACCTACATTACATATAAAGTTATATGTAAAGTTAGGTTCAACTGATTCACGTCATAATTATAATAATATATTTATCATCATTAATTTCATCAGTTACTTAATCCTTATTCAATTACCAAAATTGTTGCTGTTTTCTCTAAAACCAACAGTAGGGTAATGTCATGAAATAAATATCTCTGCATAATTTAATCACAGAGATAAGTTCATTAAAATTTCAGAAATCACTTATTATACTATTTTTTAAATAGATGCCCGTTAGATAAAAAATGAATATTTTACGCAGCAAATACAAGAAAAATTAAGCTGTGTAATTTTTACACGATCAAGGCCTGATATTCATCAATCAAAACTATAAGAATATTTTGCTCAGAGCGTCTCTCTTTTCCGCGGTTTGCATCCAAAAGACCATTAACTGCGAAATAATCTAAACTACATTTGTAATTTTTGTTACTAAAAATTTTTGAATAAACTTTTTAAATAAATTGTGAACTTATGTGAGTTCACAGAATTAATTTATAATTTTTACAACCGTACAATCAATATATACCAGACAGGAGCGTTTCAGCTTCGTTTCATAAATTGAGATAAAAATCATCAATAAGGTACGGTGCCAGCAGGGTACCGGGCACGCGAGGACTCATCCGGAATATGAAAGGCATTTACCCGCATAAAAAATTGTCAAAAGTTGGTAGGTTAAAATTGCCTACACCTATTCCTGTAGTAAATAAGATAACTTGCACTTTAGAAACTTAATCGCTGTCTTAAATTCAATAGCGAGAGAGTACATAGTAATAATCAGTAAGCAAATAGGAAATCGAATGATTTCACAAGCCAATTGATATATGAATTCCTTCTATAAATAACTTACTTTATCTCAGCTAGAAAAAAAAAATAAATTTCCAGGAGCAACAAATAACGAGAATGGGTTAAAATCAAATTACAATCATCTAATTGCGACTTTTTAATTGTGAATTCTGACTATTTTTCTGGATTGTTCGCGGCTATCGTCACACAATTTGACATTGTTTTAACCGCCAAGATCCAGAAATCAACTCGTGAAACATTCATGTGATAACCGGAAAATTCCGTACCCTGGGAATAGCACAGGACGTCTGTAAGTTTATCCACTTATCTTCCCAAGCTAACGTAATGGCTGCTAGCGTAAAACAGGTCGCACGTGTATCAATTAATAGTCTATGATGTTATGCTCAGGTACCAAATTTTCGCGCATATCTTCACACAACTAAAACCTTAATTTTTCAAGTCGCAGTTAAATTTCAGTGGAAATCCTGATAGTAGAATTTTCAACGAGATAGACATATGTAACTCTAATTTCCCTTACTAAAATCTTGGAGCAATTCCCTCGAAAATCTTTTCCCTCGTCTTTCTTGGCTTTCTTGTACGTATATATACGTGCTGGATATCAACATTGTGTATTAGTTTACAGGTTTCGTTTAATAATGTGACTTCATGGAATTATCAATGTCAGAAATAAATATATTTCTTTATTGCATGTATATTATAAATAAAAAATGTAAGAGAAAACGTATCAAAAAGTGAATGATGAAGTTACGCTTCCTCTTGTCTAAATCGTAACACATTTTCAATTTTATATTCATTTTAATCAAGAACGAACTACGAATGGTTGCGCAATAGAGAAAACTTTCCAACCATCGAATCCGATGCCAATTCTGACTCCGATAAAACATCAAGAAAAAATGAAAAACACTTCTTAAAAAATAAGTTCGAAAATATTTTAATAAATGAAATTACGGACATTTTCTATAAATTTAATTTTCAGTTTGGAATTTTTTGCCGTCGCACAGTGACAATAAAGGATGGAGTGGCCAACAGAAACAAGGACAATAGTATATAATCAAAGCAGACAAAGAATCGAGTGCAAGGATTCCTGCAGTCAAAAGAATTTAACCCATCAACTGAGACGTACATTCAGACAAGCAAGACTCAAGACTGGGCGTCCAGTAACGTTCTGCACGCCAAAGGAACGCTTAACGTTGTATTCTGACGAACCACGACACTTGCAAAAAAATACTTTCCTTTGATGGGTAGTATCCTAGACACTTAACATAAGAGTAGGCGAAAACTACATTTCCCCTGACGAGTCATGACTTCTTTCATAGATTACACGTGTCACAAAACTACCTTTCCCTTGACGGGTCGTGACCATGAGACATAAAATACACGTGTCACCAAACTACCCTTCCCCTGACAGGTCATGACCCTGAGACATAAAACACACGTGTCACAAAACTACCCTTCGTCTGACAGTTCGAGACCCTGAGACATAAAACACACGTGTCACAAAACTACCCTTCCCCTGACAGGTCGTGACCCTGAGACATAAATTCACGTGTCACAAAACTACCCTTCCCCTGACAGGTCGTGACCCTGAGACATAAAACACACGTGTCACAAAACTACCCTTCCCTTGGCGGTTCGAAACCCTGAGACATAAAACACACGTGTCACAGAACTACCCTTCCCCTGACACTTCGAGACCCTGAGACATAAAATACACGTGTCACAAAACTACCCTTCCCTTGGCGGTTCGAAACCCTGAGATATAAAATACACGTGTCACAGAACTACCCTTCCCTGACAGGTCAAGACCCTGAGACATAAAACACACGTGTCACAAAACTACCCTTCCCCTGACAGGTCGTGACCCTGAGCCATAAAACACACGTGTCAAAAATTAGCTATCATCTGATGATCGGAGCCTGAAGACCGCAAGTGGAATACAGGGACGAGATATGACCTAGCTACACCTGCTACGCGTGCAGGGCATTGTTTATTGTGCAAGTCATATTCTCAAGAGAGTCAGGTGTAGGGTAAGAATGAGTTATATGCGACAGTTTTACTCTTAAAATCGGTAATATCTTCTTGATAATTTTCATATCTGTTTATCCGTCTGTTTACATCTTAAGAATACAGAATCATTTTACGTTAACTGATCGGATCGATTTATTTACCCACTATGGAAGTCATTTATATATACCCTACACAGCTGTCTTTTTATCTTAGAGTATTAATATAACCTGAGGTTGGTGGGTAAAGAGGCCCGGGAAGAGCTACATGTGGTAGACGAGAACGAGAATAAAAAGCCTGCGATGCCAGGCAACGAACTTTTCGTCTAGCATCACTTGCACGGGTGAGTGGTGCTTCATGGGTGAGTGGTGCTGTGCGGGTGAGTGGTGCTGTACGGGTGAGTGGTGCTGTACGGGTGAGTGGTGCTGTACGGGTGAGTGGTATACGGTACGGGTGAGTGATGCTGAACGAGAATAAAAAGCCTGCGATGCCAGGCAACGAACTTTTCGTCTAGCATCACTTGCACGGGTGAGTGGTGCTTCATGGGTGAGTGGTGCTGTACGGGTGAGTGGTGCTGTACGGGTGAGTGGTGCTGTACGGGTGAGTGGTGCTTCACGGGTGAGTGGTATACGGTACGGGTGAGTGATGCTTTACGGGTGAGTGATGCTGTACGGGTGAGTGATGCTGTACGGGTGAGTGATGCTTCATGAATGAGTGTTGCTGTATGGTTGAGAGAAACCTAAACGGGTGACTGATAAATAGTAAATTTCTTCAGATAGAAAAACTACCGCACTCAAAATTATCTGCACTAATAACAAAAAAATCAAAATCCGTAATTTAAAGAAAACATGTAATGAAACGACCATTTCTGTCTTGTATTGTTGATACTTCTTCGCATTTTCGGCTTCTAGGCTCATTTCGACATACACGTACTTAAGTGTTTATCCGAATTAAAACCATAAATAATTATTAATGTATTTAAATATAGAAAAAAAGTTACTTAGTGATAAAAATTATAACTCTGATTTCGATGCTTCGATCACTGTGGTTTTAGCAAAATGTCACCTATGTCTTCTCGTACAGGTTCTCTGCTGTTAGACCAGATTCTCGTCTGTTCAAACTTCGTGAACATCGCAGAGTCTGAAATTCCTCCGGTGAGTCCTTGTATAGTTTAATATTAAATTGACATGTTCCTGTACATAAAGTGGAGTAGCAGAATATGCTTTTATTGATAATTCAACTATTGTGATTTCGTCGTTGATAAAACTAAATGACACGCAACAAAAAAATATAGTTGCAAATTAACCAGGCTAAAAATTACAAGCACTTAAATGCAAAGCTCCTATTTAAAAAAGATTGTACTCAATCAGGGGAAATATAAATGTTTTTTTAACGAAGAAAATTTTCACAGCCATTTTCTGATTAAATTGAATAGTGGAATGTGATTTGCACACTACGCTTACCATATTTGATAATGGACATACTCTGATGCGTTTTCTGAGATATTTGCTTCATCAATATTTGCAAATTATTAAACTTTAATGAAGTTCAAGCTGAATTAGAAAAAAAAACGTTTATTCGACGCTAACCTGCATGCATTCATATCACCATGAAATATGTCGCCATGAAACATAACTTTACGTATATTTTTCGACTTAAATTTTGTATATTTAATCGACCAGGTATACATAATAAATTTCTAGCTTTTGCAAATTTGAAATGTAATCAAACGCTAGTGCCAAAAACAAAAGCTGTTGGAGAAATAAGATAGAAACAACTGAATTATTCCAAATGTCCGATTTATGTTTTTTTCCAACAAAAATAATTACGCAAAATGTACAATTGTACATAATAGGATTTATCGAATGATGTTTATAAGGAATCAGAGTTGCCTAGTGAAGTTAACGCTTTGACATACAGTTAACTAAAATAAAAATAAAATGAGTGTCGTTTAAAATTTACATTTTAACAAGAGTAGTTTACTAATTTAAATAAAATGATACATCGAAAACATCTTACATCATCCGAACGAGAAGAGCTAAGACAATTAAGCAACGACTTGAAATATCTAGTTCATAAATTTGCGAAATTGTGGATTATGCGAATTGACTTGTCTTTTTTCAGAGCGTCAAGAAAACGACAGAATATTTGAGTTTGAGCTGCATCCTCAAAATTGTTTGCCCTAATGACAAGTTCTGAGACGAAATATTTCTGAGTAGCAATTTTATACTTTCAGGCTCAAATTAAATTATCATTTGCTGCAAAATTCCCCACAATAGAAATTTTAAATAAATTAGCGGTGAATTTCATAAATTCAACACAATTCAGACTGAAATTTATCAAAAATTTCTCTGTCAATTACGGATACCATAGTATGAAAAACTAGCCAGCTATTGTCTGGAAAATCTTCCGGATCGGTAGTGAAAATAAATTAATATTTATAACAGTAGCTTCCGGCATAAACTATAATAAATCGTTTTCGTTGTATCTCGCGCATCTTCATGATAAGCTTTACACAAACTCGTTGAATTTGAAAGAATTTTCGATTCCGACGTATTTCAGAGTGTTTCAGTTGATGCCCGCCTTTCAAAGGGCACAAATCGGAAATGAAATATATAAATTTCAGCCTATCAAGTTTAGTAAGAGGAAAACTTAAAAGCATCTTAAAAGTGCCAATGTAAATCAATTGACTAAATTTATTGAACAAAATTTAAATTAAATGCCTCCAGAACATTATCACGCAACTCAGAAGAATGAGTGAGATATTGTGCAAATTGTGATGCAATATTGCTTCTATGGCACGGCAAAAGCTTCGTATAGGTGCTACTTCCTAAATCTACTTGTCTGGTCGGTATGAAATTGAGTTCCTTCTTGGAAAATATAAGCCCTTACTTTTAATGAGTTATATTTCAATAGATTAATTACTTGCCTATCAAATAGTAGGAAATTTCCAGCGCAACAAATAAAAATATGGCGAAGGATATTTCGTCTTCAATTATATTGACAGTTATTTCGTATTGACGTTTGCTTTGATCGAAAGGGAATAAAATCTCAGGCCATATATATAACATTTACGTTTGAAAGTTTATCGCGCAATCTCTTCCTGTTGTAAACCATTCCAAACATTTTATTTATCTGAATACCGATTGTTATTCACATAAATAAACTTTGAAAAAATTTTCGATCGATGTTCTGCAGTCATAAGACTATCAATGAAGTCCTTTACATGTCAATAATACTAATAATTCGGAATATATGGACTGAAAATAACTCAATTTCAGTATGTGGGCTACGGGTTCGAAACTCTCCGCTACCCCGCTGGGTTGAGACTGGCGACACGTGCGTCATGGCAAACTAGAGGCCCATAGGTGAGTATTTCTCATAAGCTCCCAACAAGAGATCAACTGAAACCAATAATGTCAATCTTATCTTTTCCTCCTATGTAAGATATGTAACAGACTAAGTTATAGACAATCAGAGCTTTTCACTTGGTGGATTCTTTGAATGCTGTGAAAAACGGTTAAACGGTAGTTTTTTTTTGGGGGGGGGGGGAACATGACCTATATCAACGCAACACCAGCGGATCAACAGTCAAAAATTTGGTCCAAAGATCGAGTGTGTAATATGCCATAAGGGGGCACAAAATTAAAAATGTTCGAACGAACAAACATCCATTGAGAACGTCTCTATGATGTTCAATGATAGCAATTGTTAGCAAAGTCTCAATAATAGCATAAATTCCATCTCTCATTGCAATCTTTAATTATGATTTAGGACTAGATAATATCGGATTCCATTTTTCTAATGGGTATTATTGAAACAAGTTTGTAGGCACGCTGAATAAGATGAAGAAAATTGTGATTTTAACAAATCATTAATAAAAATATATTCTGATGTAAAAAAATCTGTCCAGAGTTGTTTCTCAACAATTTAACATCGTAACTGTTTCAATTATTCAAACAGTAAAATTCGAATATTCCTCAATTTTCCAAATTATAATATAGATTATATTATAAATTCAAATTATAGGCAGTGAGAAAATCTATTATTCTGCTGGGTTCAACTTAATTAAATCCATTGTAGTTTCTACAAAAATGAATTTCACATGAATTTAAATACCATCAATGGATTGTATGATAATCTGATGCATACAATTGGAAAATTTGCAAAAATTCTTCTGGAAGAACGTTGAACAAGTTACTTAACTAGTAACTTAGTATCATTATAGCTAAAAAGAAATGAGAATAAAAGTCATTATGTCTTGATGAAGTCACACCCAGTCAAATTTTGGAGTCGGCTTTCGGAATTCGGACGCCTAATGGTTGCAAATCTCGCCATTAAGGTGAATCGGGCTAGAATCGGTCACATTAGTAGTGTATTCGGCTGTTATTTATGAGCCTTTTGCGGGAATCTATTGCACAGTGGGCCGAATCTTCGTAATTTAACAGAAAAAAGCAGCTGGTCAAGCTGATTCATGATAGTCTGGTCAGCCTCTGGTATTAGAGCGAACAATGACCATCTCCCGCTCATAGAATTTCGTGCACATGTACATGTACATTTCTTAACTCATACGGGTGATCAAGATGAGAATTGACTCAAGCAATTCTTTGAGCTTACGTGGCATATAGATAATAATTTCATTAAGTATAGACCAAAATTATTTTTCTACAAAAAGCTGACTTCATTTCTTTACCATCCTATATTTAAAAACCAGAGGCTGCCGAGGGCATAGAAACATGATTAAGGGGTGCAAGGGGAGAAACACTCATGATAAAGAGTACGTGACAGCAAAAAATTAATGCATTTAGCTTTATAAGGTAATTTCACATACTTATCCATAACATAAGTAACTGATATGCAAGCTGTCAATTGTCAGAACCAACAAATCAACAGATGAACGTCCGGTTTTGACGTCAGGGCCTACAAGCTTTATGAAAGATAAAGATCATGATGATTTTGGGATTACAACTTTTTGATATTGTGATACCAGTGCATTGCCTCCTAACAGGCACTGTACAATGCTTCTTCGGTTATTCAAACAAGGTATACAAAATTTGAATATTTTTAGGCAACGTGACATTGTAGTGCGTGCGTATAATGTCTTTCTCAAGTAACTGTTTTATGTATTTTTCCGTGGTAACATCGACTTAAGTAGTTCTTCTTTACAGCCGCTGTATGCAGAATTTTATAGACCTATGCAAAATGGTTCGCTGGACGGAACTTACTAATAACGTGTCGTGGAATGATAAGTCGTTATCAAATTTTTTATTGGTTGTTATACCATCGTGTGTGCGGTAATGGAATGCAAGCGGGTCTCGCCTTGGATTGCAATTTCGCCAAAAATTCATAACGATAATATTGTCAGTCATGATAATATTGTCAGTCATTCCATTCCTGGAAATAGAGGAATTTCAAAAGACTATAAAACATTCATTTGTGATTCAAGCTAACTTTTAATCGACTCTATTAAGAATCAATCATTCCAACAAGATCCAATTTTGTTAAAATATTTAAAACAGGGTTAAAAAATTGTGATGAATCCTTGACGACCAATCTATCTAATTTTAGATTAACCTTCACTTTATAATATTAGAATGTGCTTAATAGATCGAAATAAGAAAATTTTAAATGCTATAGGTATATAATTAACAGTTAGAGGGTACTTAAACATCAAGAATTGCAAATAACTTGAACAAAATCAACTGAAAAAATTGAGAATTTACAATGAATCGAAAATATTTAAATTGATCAATCAATTTAAAAAACAACCCACGAAGACGATTCTCGAATTGGGACCGATTGAAATCCCAATCAGTTTTTCCTTCTGCCATCTTAAAGTTTCATTTATATCGGAAGAGCGTTGATGAAAGAGATCGGTGGTAATTATTGTGTCATATATGATGAATATCAATCGTCAATAATGCATTGATGTGTTTGATCAATCTAGAATCTTATAAACTTTAAATGAATGGCGAAAGAATGAACGTCTAAAGGATAGTCTTATTGATGTGAAAATCAACGCTGAATTCCATAATGATATATTTTACATAAAATAAGCTCATGCTCTGATTCTTTAAAAAGACAGAACCATTCAATTGTAGGACGAAGTCAAAAATTAATATAATTAATAAAATAAACATAAATTAATAGAAAGGTAAATATTCTTTTTCATTAATATGTCATCGGAATAATGTCATGTGTAAATCGGTAAAACAAAACAAAAAGAAGTAGGTTTCACCTTTCCCGTTCCTGCAATATTATAGAACTGCTAGGCCTCTGGCACTATATATAAGAGCTTTAGCATGCAATAGCTAGTGCCGTTAACAAGGGAAGAGCTTATAACAAACTTTTAGCGTAAATTAACATAATGAAATAATGAAACAATGAATGGAAGCTAAAATAGGCTCCGGTTTAATTTTGTTACCAGCGAAAAAAAGTCTTGTGAGAAAGGTCTGTAATTGATTCTACCAAGAAAGAAACACTTGTCAAAACATTAACACCACACGATTCAAAAAAGTACCTTCAAATTGACAATTCACCTTAAAGCAGAGATATATTCCGCTTCTATTTGTGCGCTGCTTTGCATCACGATGAAGAGGAACCGACTTCAGGTCATTCATTCGAAACTGCAGGGCAACCACGGTTTTACATGGATGAAGGCTGAAGGTTATAGGGATGATTAGATAAAGTGAACTTATCTTTATTAGAGTTCGTGAAGGTTCCTGGAACAAATATGAAAACTAAATTGTATAACTAAGCATGGCTCTATAAGATCACATCATTTCAGATTAAAAGAGTTCTGTTAACTATGCAAACAAATAATAAATATAGTTATCTGATTAATAATCAGAGATTATTTATCAATAATAATAATAATCATCTCTATAAGATCGCATTATTCCAGATTAAGAGAGTTCTCTTAACTATGCAAAAATAATAATAATAATAATCTTCTGATATAATAATAATATAAGAATCCTCTGATATAATTCGAAGCGAAGGAATTCATCGAAACTCTTACCGAATAATCAAGTGAACTGAGGCGTGCGAGAACGTATCAAACTAAGATCTGGCTGGAGACTGGCTGACGATTCCGTGAACACCTCGCATACAATATTCAAGGTTGCTAGTTGCTTCCCAGAGGACTCAAAATAAGAAATGCTCGTTATGTGAAAATACGTATAAACAGAATAATCCTTCTCCAATTTTTAAATGTTTCATTATTGGAAGATCGAACTGTGGAAAAACGTCGCTGACACTGAAGTTCCAGTCGAAGAATTTAATCAATTTAAAAAACCTTATCCATCATACATGAGTTATCAAACAACCTTATTCATCAGTCAACTCATCAGCCTTAATATAAGCTGTTGAAGAACGGTTTCGATATGGGATTTATCAAATCTGAAATCATCAAAGACGGTAATAAAAATGAGCAATCTAATATTTCGAGAATTCTGCTTCTATGCCGGATCGAATTGATATAAATACTCGGATCAATTGGTTCATTTTTTATAGTAATGCTACAGTGAAACATTAAAATCCCGATGATATTTCATACATCCGTGAAATACATAACTCAATTTAGATTCACTCATACGGTAACTATAATATGATACCATGGCAGACCATTAGAACTAAGCCAAATTTATTAATTCTGCATAAATTACCTTTGGCTGATATTACAAATGTTCTTAATGAATTATATTGCTGGCAATAAGCTCTTTACACAGTTCAAGAACAGCGCGATAAAACTTATAAATTGCATTGTAGCTTCATATTAATCTATAAGGATGAGCACCTTTGCTCTGAAAGTATTTCAAAAATTTGAATTAATAATTTCTTCAAAATAGCCATAACCGTTGTGAGATGATAGAGGGATCGCCCAAGGTTTCAAATATATAGAGGTGATTAATCCAATTGTTTATATGCTGAACAACAACTGGATGCAAGTCCTGCTAAATCAGACCTGAAATAAACGGGTATGGACAAACTGGGTTGCGCCCCGGCTGTAATTACTCCATTGATCCTCTATGCCACCTGTAGTGGGACGCTCGTGATCTATGCCACCTGTAGTGGGACGCTCGTGATCTATGCCACCTAGCTGTAGTGGGACGCTATATCCATGCGATTAAGAAAACAAAATCAAAATAACGTAACTTGTATATTATAATAATATATGGATGCAACTACGCTATCAATCTTTTAGCATGTGTAACGTACAAGTAATCTAAGAAAAATTCCAGTGAGCACATTTCTCAATACTGTGTAAAATAACTTTCCAGTATTTGAAAAGTATGCAAATTATTTTATCATGATACGTTTTAAATCCCTCAACGTAAATGGTTTATACTCAGGGCACAAAAGCAAAATTTAAAAAAACAATTTCCGTTCAAATCGTTTTATAGTTACGTAACTTGAGATAAGTTGTAAGGCCAACCACAATATGGCCCGAGAAAGCCATCATGTGATGGTTGTTTATATAAATAAGGTCTGCGGCAACATGACGAATTCACAGCCATCATCTGGTATTGCCGGTAGCATCGCAATTATGAACGGGTTAGCATTGAAATTACGAAAAAAAGTATATCAATTGTGAAAAAAAATTTCATTTCACTTATAAAAAAAAATCTAAATCTATTTCTATTATTAAAAAAATTAATTTCATGCATAAAAAAAATTTCATTTCATGTATGAAAAAAATTTCATTTCAATAATGAAAAAGTTTATCTTCTAGTTAGTGTTTTACAGCTGCTTTGAAAATGCGTCCACATAATAAACTGGCTACAGTTTCTTAAGTTAAATGTCGGTTTCTTCAATAACATAACAATCATTAATTAAATAATATTCCTCTTTGTAAAAACGTGGACTTTGACAAGAAAATCAAGTCATGCATGTCATGAATCGGGATAAAACCAACAATGCTGTGTATGAAACCAGTCAAAAAAAATCTAAATACAGTATTACTCATCTATTGTCAATACAAGTTTGAAAACCGACATTTTTCTAATATAAGTTAGATATGAAATGAAAAATAAATTTCACATGAATTGATAAAATTTCATTGCTTGATAAGATGTGTCATTATCACCCTCTTTGCTTCCGTATTAATATTACTCTTGCCTTCAATTAATTAATTTAAGGCAAGAGTTCAATTAATTAATTTTACTCTCGGTTTTCCTCTCACGCACCGCGCAGGTTCTCCGCTGTACTCCTGCTGGCCGCGTAGCCGGTCTGACGAACGCTTACCTCGACCAGGGAGTTTGTCCAGACTTCCAGAACATCGCTGCGTTCGTAATTCCACCAGTGAGTATTAATATGGCGGCCAGCTAAAAATTTATATTGCGAATTCTAGATTCTATTCATAAACCTGTCATTCCTCCAAAATATATCCATCTGTGGCTTAAGATATCACAAATTCTTCAAGGTAAAATTTCGCGAGCATTTACTGGAAGGAAATTCGCGTTATTTAAAAAAATGATTACTACACATTTCGCAGTTGTGCTCTAATCAGATGATCCGAGTTTACTAACATTTTATTAACGTGAAATTTCAGTACCTGGGTCGTTGGTTCGAAGCTCACAGATACCCAGCCGGTTGAAAAGAAGGCAACACGTGCGTCACAGCAGACTACGGTGCCATCGGTAAGTTAAAATTATATATTAATAAATTTAATCAGAAATTTGCAAGATTACTGCTGAAGATTTACATTCAATAACAGTTTTAGCATTGAATTTTGAAATGGCACTGATTTAATAATCTATTTACCTATTTTTATTTATTATGTATTATTTATTTATTATTATATATTATTTATTACAACGATGTAATACGATGCGTATTATAGCGTTACTACGTCAGCAAAGGAACATTTGAATCAAAATTCAGATTCTCAAAATTCTTTTAATTATTGAACCTGCAAAAAAAATTCTTCAAAAGTCTTTCATAAAAACGCTGGTCATAAATGTTGATTTGAGATCACTCGCAGTTTCCTACTTACTCAAAATAGTTCATCAACAAATAATGGTAAAGACTATCAATAAATTTGTTATGTAGTCAATTAAAAACTTATTTTGGTCATTCAATTAATGAATTGAAGGCTGAGAACACATGTCTAAAAGAGAAAGCACCCAACGAATCAGCACATGCAATTAATTTGCAATTTATATTAATATGCTTTTAATAATAATATAAATAATTACTATTACTTAAACCAATAATATTAATAATAATAAAAATAATAATAATATAATAAATAATATCTCAATGGATTTATTTCGATCAATTCAGCGCCATTTGTTAATACAAAAACTTAGAAGCATGTGATGAGTCATGCTCCCAATCATCGATCATTCTGAATTATCTGTTGATAAGTTATCGAATCTGCTTATGATTCATCAATTTCGGTCACGAAATCAGCAACTATAAAAAATTATAATTTGGAAAACAAAATTCCAAGACGACACGGCGATCTCGGTTACGAACAACGCCAACCTCCCCGACGGGACGCTTGACACAATCAACGGCACGGGCACCGCTACGGGCGTCCCAGGGCAGCTTGTGGTCCAGTTCCCCGGTGAACCCGTGGGTTTCTACAACGTCCTGGCCACCGACTACGCGACCTACAGCAGCGTCTACAGCTGTTCACAGGCAAGTATAGCGTAAACAGCTACGCACGGGTCGGTGTAGCGTCAGTATGTGTGCGTATACTCCTGCCCACAGGTCAGGGTGCTGTCAGCAGCTGTAAAATAATTCAGTATGGTGTCTGTAGATGTTGTCTTAGGGCACTTTGGGACTTTAACGGTCAAATGGATTAGTACTTGATACAAGAACCAACACCAGAGGCCACGGCTATAAACTAAAGAAACTGCGTTGCAACTTCTCCACGCGACAACATTTCTTCTCGCTTCGAATCACCGACATGTGGAACAACCTCTCTGATGACATCGTTGACGCTCCGAGGATAAACGCGTTCAAGAACAGACGAGAAAAAGCTAGGAGAAATATATGTTCAGACTTGAAATGCCTAGCACCATATCGAACCCGGTGGAAGTCTAGTAGCTATTTCGAGCTATTGTCAGTTTTGAAAAGATCCGGTCAAAGGACTTGTTAACACGTTTTTAACACGTTTTTCTTAGCTTAGCTTCGCGTTTGTTTGTTTGTTTGTTTGTTTGTTGTTAACATTGACAACGAAAATTAGCCCACTTCTGATTGCTCTAAAGATCTGAAATTCGGCATGCAGGCTATTTTTGCCTAACAATTTCAGATACAATCATAAAAACTAGTAATTAGAGACCGAAATTAGTTTAATTGAGTAAAGTATTTATATAGTATATATATAGTATGACGTGCGGGCGCTCACGTTATAGACGAGCAGGCGCTAACGCTGCGTATCATCGATACGTACGTCAAGTCATACTTAATCAAGTCTTAATCGTTTTTTTTTGTGGACTAAAAAGTAGAAAATAAAATACTTAAAAAAAACTTTTTAAAAAACTACGTTTTTCTTGTGGACTAAAAAGTAGAAAATAAATTATGGTTCGCCTCAAAAAAAACGTGGGTCGGGCTGTACGTTCACCATCAAATTTCCAAAATTTAAGTGTTGTGTGCTTTTCGCTTTAATCATAAATCTGCCCGACACACGTTTTTTGGGGAACCATAATTTATTTTCTACTTTTTAGTCCACAAGAAAAACGTGTTTTTTTAAAAAGTTTTTTTAAGTATTAACACGTTTTTCTTAGCTTAGCTTCGCGTTTGTTTGTTTGTTTGTTTGTTTGTTTGTTGTT